ATATTAATGTGGTGTTTCTACAATTTCCCAATGTCTAACATTCACTATCATTTATTTAATTAATTTATTTTAAATCTAATATTCACTTATTCTGTATTGTTTTACTAATTATTGCTCRTTTGTGTCTTGCATTATTTACAATAAATTTAATTTGGCAGTGTGCACACCTACGATCATTTATTTGATTCTGTGTTTGGATAAAAGGCAATTTCCTACAGCATCAGTGTTTGTTTTTTTTTACTATCCATCTGAGCAAATTTGGTTACCATAGGCTTTAAACAAGATGGGTAGTATTACAGAATGATCATATTCCACATTCCCATCTCCAACTGGGACACTGACCAGGATATAACTAATGTTGTCAACACAGCACAAATCATGCTTGTCAAGTCGCAATGACCCAGCCAGACTGTATAGGTTTCAAACAAACTGACAAATCATTTAGGCCAATATGTGAGTAAGACACAACAGTCCCTGTGGTCGTACAGACAGAAGCTTTATAGAACAAAATCCAAAACAACTTAGAATCAAGCGCAGTCTGTATATCAAGGACTTTCTCACAACAGCAATTTGTTTCTAAAAATTCTGAAAATACAGTTGCACAGGTGGTAATAACAAGGACTTAAAACTCAACAGTTTTGTTCAAAATGGCCGCAAAATCTTTGTTGGGAAAAACAAGTGAAATTCTGTCACAGCCTTATTTGAATGTGGTGAGGAAATTGAATAAGTGGACGTAACACCCTTGTGACACTTGTGTTGYCTTGGCACAATTTTTCACAATGACTTGATTATGTATTCCTTCCTTGTAAACACAGCCTTGACATTCTTATTAGAAATTAAGCTGAGTCCAATGTGGGGAAAAAATATTTCCCGAGCTGGCTTCATTAGAAAATAATCAYCTTGTCATCAAGTCATGTATACCAACTTTAAACCTAACCCTGAGTAACCTGAACTACAAAATTAGCACAAGTAACAACAAATATACCAGCTCCATGATATTTTGCTGGCTCACCAAAACACTACGGCTAAATGATACACTGTGACATCACAGCACCATGCAGCTTGATTAGCTAAGGGCATGTTGATATGAGATACTGAGAAGTAGATGTACAGACATGCTCAGGACAACATGTACAAGTTAAAGCTGGAATGTTGACCTTGCCTGCTGCAGAAACATTTGATAGCTTATAAAACAAGATGTTTGTCAGATTAATGCCTAACATGAAAGAAAAAGTATATTAATATTGTTGATGCAAAACAATACATAAGACAAAATGTAGATCAGGTAAAAGGTGTTTACTAGAACATAACAATTTATCAAATGATAAAACCAGGATTTTTTTTCTTGTTTTCACAAATCTTTAACCTCTAATAATATACAAAAGTGTACAAAAAATGTTAAGAGTTAATATGTTGTATCAATACTGTTTAAAAAAATCAATATAGGATTTATTTTCATGATATAACGTTATTAGCATTGGCTAGTAATGCATTTAAATTAAATATCAACATATTAGATAGTAGGAAAATAAATTACTCTCTTACATCTAACTCTGGTTTTAACTTCCACTTATCACTGCTTTCTTTTATATATTTTTCCCCAGTACCAATTTGCATAAATTTTGAAGTCTAGGAATGTGTTATAAAAAAATTATATTATCTGAGACTAAAGCATGTTTAAGTAATGACTTAGAAGACAAGCGTCTTGCTCAGAAGTATACAACAATACATCTTTAAAACTAAGTTGCCTTGGTATGCTAACTAGCTAGCAGCAGCTAACCTCTACAGAAACTCGCGTTTAGTAACGTTTTTATAATGTGTTTCGTTTAAAATCACATGTCTTTCAAATCAAATCACTGCAATATTTTAGCAAGCACTCAAAGAAAGAGCAATGCGCTTAATAAAGCCTATTGAATCAAACTGCCTACCAAAGCTAATGCTAGCTTCTGTTGATGTGTAGCCGAGTGTGTTAGCGAGCTAATTCCGTTACTTACGATGTACTCCCGAACTTGGCTGTGAAAATTCTGTTCCCTGATAGTAACATCGTCTTCTTCCATTCTTCATATTGCAAATGCAAAAAGCTACAGTCTCTCTACATTCTAGCTTGGACGGCAGGCAACAACAGCCAAAACTTCAACTCCTCTGCTCTCTCCGTAAAAAAATGTTTTGACTGGTTTAATGATGGGCTTTGTCAAAGGATACGCCCCATTTACACAACGGCTCAAGTAACAGCGCAAAGAGTGTGTGTGTGTGTGTGTGGGGGGGGGGGGTGTGCACCATTTACAACGGATAGGCCTGAAGAGAGACAGGTGTCGTGCTGTAACAAGTAGTCATGAATTGCATAAATATGTTAATGTCACAAATGTAAATCACGATGACAGGTTTGTCCACGTGATTCTGAACCATGCTCCCCCCTTCACCTGTCTATTACTTTAAGACGAGTCATGCGCCGGTAAATTAAAACGAGTAAACCTAACGTACGTCGAAAAAAAACGCCCAAAATAAATACGTCATCTTTGTGCGTCCAGTTTGCTGCGTACCCTGTTGGAAAAATGTCACATGTTTTTGGATCATAACAACAATTCTATCTTTTCTGGGGTACATGTGCAATTTCGTGTATTTATTAGATCTAAATAAGAAAAAAAAATTTCGTTTTTGTGCTAATTATTTCAGTCATTTTCCAACCCGTGCAGCAGTTTTGGCTTTCCGAAAGATTTCCCACCTGTCAAAGTTAACGCTGTCAAGCTAACTTTGTTCAGCTATTTGTTGAAATGAAAGAGAAAAAGAAACAAAACACCAAAAAGAAGAAAAGGAATGCGGTCTTACAAAAGTACATGGTGGCAGTGGACGAGTTTGTTCAAGGTAAAAGTCGTGCGGAAGATGCAGAGAGTGACCGATTTAGATTTGTCAAGAAGAAGAGTAGAAAAGAACTGCGCAGAGAGAAGAGAAAACTGAAAAAAGCCAAGATGAAAAGTCATTACGAGGGAAAAACGAATGTCTGTTTAGCCCCTGGTGATGATGAAAAATCCAAAAAAGTCAAAGCTAAAAAGCAACCACAAAAAAACATTGAAAAGGCAGCAAAGGAAGTAAGTATAACACAATCAAAAAACCAAATTCCAACAGAGAAATCAGACTCATCTCCATCCAAACCATCCTCAAAGAAAGGCAAGAAAGTTAACAAGCTTCAAGAGTCAAGAAAAATGGCTTTACTGGAGGCTAATGAGCAAGAAGACAGGGAGATAAAGAAGCTCGAGCGATTCCTCGGATTTAATAAAAGGAAAAACAAAAAGAGTCTCCCACAGTCTTTTGTGACTGATGGACTTGATTACATCCTGGGTGTGCTGGACTCCGGCTCCACAGCAGTGGGAATGCATGACGGTGACGAAGATRATGATTATGACGTGGCCAAAGAGAACTTTGAAAAACTTGATGAAGATGATTCTCAGGTGTCGGAGGAAGATGAAAAAGCTGACGATGAAATGGAGAGTGCAGGCAGCGATGATGAGGAGGAAAGTGAGGTTGTTGATGATGATGATGAGGAGGAGGAGGAGGAGGAGGAAAGTGGGGTTGTTGATGATGATGATGATGATGATGATGATGATGATGAAGAGGAGGAAAGTGGGGTTGATGACGAGGAGGAAGAAGAAGAAATGGATGATGGCAATGATCTGAAGAACAGCAACGATGCTGATCCAGACGATGACAGCGAGAAGGAAATGGATAAAGAAGCTGATGGTCCTGATGTAAATACAGAAGCTGTAAGTTCACATAGTTAAAACCTCTCTGAATTGTAATGGTTACGTTGACGTCTTGTGCTATTGATCTATTTTTTTTTTCTGATGTTAAGGTTGCCACAACATCCGGCAAGTATGTGCCGCCTCACCTGCGCAACACTGGTGATGATAAACGCAAAGCTGAGCTGGAAAAACTTAGACGCAATGTAAAAGGCCTGCTGAACAGGTAAAACTTCTACCACAACACCAAGGATTCAAGGAAGGGTTTGTTTGAACAATTAAAAGCAATAATTTGATTGTCATTTTTAACGGAGAATACTACATAAATAAACATCATTCATATGGTTTGTGTCAAATTCTGTTGATTTTGCATCCAAATTTATTTCAATGTGACTTCTTATAAAAAAAAATACAAGGCAAGAAAATACAGTGGTTTGCAAAAGTATTCATACCCCTTGAACTTTTCCATATTTTGTCACATTACAACCACAAACATAAATATATTTCACTGGAATTTAATG